CGGGCAGCGCCACAGCCCCCCGCCCCGGGTGGGAGCGCTGCTGGAGCCCCTTCAGCGGCTCCTGGGTGCAGGAGGGAGCTGTCACACAGCTGTTGCAGTGCACTCCGTGTTCTGTGGGTAATTTCTGTACGTAGGGGCCTTGCAGAGTGTTGTGGTTGTCTTGGTTTTCCTCCTCGTAGGGATAGAGAAGAAGCAGGTACCATGGAAGTTAAAAGCTTTCAGTGCTCTGGCTCAGCTCTTCAGTATGCCACAGCTTTGACAAGAGATAAACACTGGTATTTAGCACCATCTGCTTGTGCCACTCTGGAAATGATTGCATGCTCCCTGGTTACAACAGAGGATGTGCTACAGGGCTACACTAACTTAGTGGAGCATATATTTGTATCTTTTCTCCTCTCTTGTGGTTTATGTAGCCATGCTGATCTTGGAATCTGTTTCGGTTTGTTAATCCTCCCACAAAAAGGGAGAAAAGTATAGTGCTTTCTCACCTGGGGTGAGCTGGCATCTTCCTCTCAAGTTTTGCTTTACAAACACTGGACTGAATGCTTTAGTTTATCTGCACTTTGTTTGTAAACACTGCCAGTTCTCTCTAGATGTTTGTTTTTCTTAGGTGAAGTTTCTGTATATTTCCTTTGACTTCAAAAGCTCTTTCAGAAAGTAATCACTTGGTGAAACTAGCAAACCTACAAAATAGTAAGGTATTGTTGAGTGTAATCTATACACAATTAGTTCAGTAGGTCTGTTTTATAACTCTTGTGAAACTTCACTATTTCAATTTAATGACATTAATATATCTTTATTGCCTGCTGTGACTAAAAAGCATTTGACATGAAGAGGTGTTACACTGCTGCAAGCTTTAATGTAAGCTCTATACGTGATATTCTGGAAATTCATTCTTAAACTTCTTCAACAAGATGAACTTTAAACTTATCTGCAATAGGGTTACTTTGATTGAAGACTTTTAAAGTTCTTTGTGATGAGTTAGGTACGCACAGTCGGTTACTGAAGCTCAGTGAGCATGTATTTGTTTGTGAAGCTGTGGGGATTCAGGTATGTATCTCACATCAGAGACGAGGAACTCAGGATCTTGTTTGTATCTTTATGAGTGTCCTGAAGTTCAAGTGCTACTGCAGGTCACACAGATGTACTTACTTAGTCTCAGACCACCAGCTGTGATTCTTGTCCTATAGTGTGCTGACACTGGGCTAACTGCATGGTTATTGTAAGAAGGAAAAGTTGCTTATGTTGTGTGTAAATTGCAGTTGGTGCTAGATTTGTAGTTTAGTGATTACTTGTGATTTGTGTGTTGCTCAATAATGCTGTCAGTCTTTATTTCATACTTGGCAGCTGTCAGTTTGGACATTCTTTCAAGTAATTGCTGCCTGAGTCTTAATATAAAAACTTGGTTATTATTTTAGAATATTTAATGAAAGATAAGCTTTTAATATCCAACCTGATTTCAGCACTTTAGGTATCTCAAGACCATGTTTATGTGCACATCACTTTGCTTATTAGTCTGCAGGGTGGAAAACCTTGTGATAGAGTATATGGATTCTGTTACAGTGATTTAAGTGACTAAAATCTCTGAATTAGAAGAAGAGATGTGTTACCATTATCACCCATATTAAGTAGATAGTCTGCTAGTCAAGGCCTCAGGATAACTTATCTGTCCAAAGCTGCAATTGTTCGTGTAGAAATCCAGATATATTTACCTTACAGCTTGCAAATCAATATCATTAGACAAGAGTTTTAGAAAAGTGCTTTTGTCATTTGAAAACTTTCTAATATTATTTCTACTGGTTTCTTTTCTTGCTTCTTCCTTCCTTTTTTTCCTGCCAAGGATCACCATCTCTTTGAGACATTTTCTGAATCTGTTAATGTTATTCTTTACTGACTTCTGGGTTTTCTTTCTTCTCATCATAAGCAACAAGTAAAACATGTATTTGGATTTTTATAGATTCCTGTTCTCTCTGGTTAGTTACTTTTCCTTGAGAATTGTGGCAATGTGGAAGCCTGTTAACTTCTAACACCAGTTTTGACCTTTCTTAAACAAGGGATTGACATGTTTCTTTCTTTGTGGAAAACAAGGCATTTTCTGAACAGTATTTTAAAAAAATGGTTAAACAGTATTTACTGTATTAAAGAAAAAGTTTTTGGTTGCATCAGAAAAATTATTACGCAATCTTTTAAAATCTTAAACTTTACTTGCAGCCACCTGGAAGAAAAAACACAGTGGGAACATCCTAAGTCTGGGAAGAGGAAACGTGTTGCAGGAGGTTTGTGTTAAGCTTTTATAATGAACTGAAATTATGTTACAAACATCAGTTGGAGTTTGTGCAGGAACTAGATCTCATTTTGATCTTCTAGTTGACACTAGCCACCTAGGCAAACTGAGCTTGTAAAATACAGCAGATTTCAGTGGAGTTTCACCTATGTGATTGTGTCTGTGTAGAGTGATCGTTTTGCAGTTTGCTGGCTTTCTTGTATTGCTCCATAAAGCCAAAGTACTAATTCCAGGATAAAGAGATTGTTTTACTGTGGCTTGTAAAGCATGTAGTCAAAGGCTGGAATCCTCTGACTGAGTTCTGGTATCCTGGTGTCCATCAGGTAATATTTATAGTTGTGTTATATTCTTCAAATAATATATTTCATCAAAGAATGTCCCTGGCACAGAAGGAGGTCCCGTTAGTTTTCATTTTTAGTTGTTTTCCCTAACCCAATTTAATGTTTGTGCTGGAACAGAAGACAGCCAACGGTGCAGGACGCTTCCAAAGGTATATGACTTTTTAAGGACCCTGGATCAGTGCCTTAAATCAGATCTTCCTAAAAGCTTCTATATGGCAGTCCTAGGGGTACTATACTGTTGGCAAGCAATATTTCTTTTGGCATTGGTAATGTGACTGTAACTGGAAGGTTTTCTGTAAATTTTGAGCTGATTGAATTATAACTGAATACTTTTCAGCCAGGATTAGAAATACTGGGAATGCTATCTCTTAAGGACTTTTGTAGGGTCTTTTTTATGAAAGAATTTATTTTGTAAAGATTAGTCATTTTTGTTCTTTTATCTGTCCTTCCAACTTCATAGAACCATTTAGGTTCAGTTGAACATATCCCATACCCACTTGAGGGTTCTGATCTTCCAACTTTTGGTATGTGTTATATGTAACTTTTCCTACATTTAGTTGTTTTTGCTATTTACTTTTTTGGGGATAGATATTAAACTGTCTTCAGTGCAGACATGTATACATACTAGGAAGCAATTAAATAATCTTTATGAATAATTTTTAGATTATTTTTATATTTAATATGCTAGTCACTGCAGTTGTACCAGATATCCTGTGTATTGTACTTTTATTAGAGAGCAATTGCTTATTTTTAGGGAAGCAATCCTTTCAAATTCCAATATTCAAGTGGAGCAGGTAGCTGCATTGCCTACAGAAATAATGAAGAATTTTGCCACATCTGTCTGAGGAAATAACTTAAACTTCAAATCTGAGTGTGCTGTAATGCCTGAAAAAAGATAATGCTTTATGTGTGTCCTAGGTCTGCCGTACGGATGGGAGCAGGAGACTGATGAAAACGGACAAGTCTATTTTGTGGAGTAAGTATGTCAAAATGTAGAATATGGACAAGTAGGACAACTGTGTTTCATGTTGGGTAGCCTTTTGGAGTTATGGTACTGGAACAGTGTCAGCTGGAAAGATTAAGAAATTAGTAAGTACAACTTCAGAACCCATATACAGATATTACAGTTGTAGCAGTGTCTAAACACCTGTTTGTGGTTTTCTGAATTCCTCTGTGTGCACAGAAATACCAGCGTAGGTGGCAGATTGAAGTGAATTTCATATCCACATTTCAAAATGTGAGCTGACCCTCAGGCAATGTTTATGTAGGCTCATTTTACTTGTATACCTTTGTGGATAAACTCTGTACCTATAACTTTAAAAACCTATCCAGAACTTCATGGCTGATTGTTAACATTGCAGTAGTGCTTTAAACATACAAGATGAAAACAAAACAGCTGCAGCTCTGTCTCACTTGCAATGTAAAGCATAGAAATAAAAGAGAATATGGATTGAGCTAGCAAAGATTTTTAGAAAGTAAGGGAGGAAGAAATTCACAGAAGCAGAAAAAGGTTTCCGGGAGCATTTCCTTTTGTATCTTTTCAACGGCAGGGTCAAAATGGGGTAGTTATCCTAAACTGACTTGGCAGAATGCAGAATATTCACAGGCCAAAATAGGAAGTGTAGCCTCTCTGTCATATAATTAAGGGCTGAGGACTGAAAGTTGTTGCTTAATGTCTCTTCCTGATAATTTTCTGAAGAAAACTAAAACTCACTTTTACTAAGGCAAGCCTGACCCAAATTGTGCCATTTGCTGAGCTAGTGTGAAGTTACTTGTTTTCAGTTGTTTGAGAAAAAAGTACTGAGCTACATTTCTCATTGGTATATTGTTACGAGGGAGTAGTGTAGGCTTATTTTGTAGAGCTCCTAAGAGAACATGATCTTCCCTAATATAATGAGATTTTTCCCTTGACAAAATTCTGCTTTCTATGTCAGGGGCTCACATAAAGTTCAGAATGGCGTTGTGAAGTATGTGAATATAATTATTAATGGATGCTGTCACAATTGGAGAAAAGTTTGATTAAAGAAGAAATTTGGATCATTTTATCAAAACTGAAAAAATAATTTGATTTTTGGGAATTTAAGTAATCCACTGGAATTGTACACAACAGTGGTTGAAATACATTTAAAAATCAAAATGCAGGGTATAGAAGGGTCTGAGCAGTTGAATTTTTCTGTTCTTTTGCAGCCACATAAACAAAAGGACTACCTACCTTGACCCAAGACTGGCCTTTACAGTTGAAGATAATCCAGTAAAACCTACTACTAGACAAAAATATGACGGAAACAGTACTGCAATGGAAATACTCCAGGGTCGTGACTTGAGTGGAAAAGTGGTTATAATCACGGGAGCAAATTCAGGAATAGGTAGGTTAATACTACACACAAGGTAAAATATAACAATCTTTATCTTAAAGGCTACTTTGTTGTTTAAATATCTGTGTATTTCTGGTATTCAAACTTGGTTTGCATTATTTCCCTATAAGACCTCTAGTTGGAAAACTGTTCAGGTTTGTGTACTGCTTTTTTAAAAGTATGGAGAATTTGGAGCTTAGAGGAAAGCTACAGGAAAGACATCAAGTTCTGAAACAATTGATTTGTGTCTAGAAAAATATTGACGGAGGCATTTTATGTAAATAGATAAAGGATGGCTGTGAAAAGGAGGAAAGTTTCTTGGTGGCTAGGGCAAGCAATAAGGTTTGTATGGCTGCAGGGGAGTTCAGATAAAGTATTTGTAAGAACTTGCTAATGGCAGCAAGTAAACTCAGATTTTCTAAGGAGGCTCTGGAATTTTTCCCTTTGAAGGTATTTTCAAGTCAACTTGTTGATGAACTTGTGTTAGAGAGTCCTCCTTTGGGGCAAAAAAATATGTTTATGACCTTTTGAAATCCCTGTTGTATTTTCTAGCAGGTTTGTATGTCCTTTTACACACTCAGCTTGTTTAGGTATTTGTTACACAGTATTACTTCTACAGTGGGTGAGTGAGAGATTCTAATTAGCTGCTTTTGTTTCATTTTATAATGAAGCTTTGGTGCTTAGGGGCTTTGCCTTTCTTCTGAGAAGACTGGATTTCTTCTTCAGCTTAATTTGCTAGGCTGTTTGAAGTTTCACTCAGCAACCTACACAGGATATGTCTTTTTCTGTGGCTTAAATTTGTGGACGAGCCACATATATTAAAATACTGGTGTGGTTTGGTGTTAGGTTTGTACTTTTTTGGTAAATGAGGGGATCTACCTAAATCCTAGATAACTGTTAATCTTTTGTTCCCTGTTGTGGTTTGCAGTTTTTATTATGGTGGGGTTACATCAATATTGGAAGAGTCCTTATGCAAATTATTTGGTGTCTTGTTTCAGTGGAGGATCTTGACTTGCCATTAACTTCTCTTAACATGCCTGTAAAATGGGAAGACTGTCTGCTCTGTGGTTCTTCTTGTCATTACTGATTAAGAATATGGACTGTAAGAATTTCCTAGATTGCATAACCACTTTCTTAATTTAGTCCTTCAAATTGCTGAAAAAAGTGTGGAAAAAATAATGTACTAAAAAAATTAGATTTATAAACACTTCATTAGTTTCCATTAGCAACTTGGAAAGGTTAATAAATTATTCGGTTCTTACAATTTAAAGAGATCATAGCAGATCAAGAGTTATTAGTAAAATGTTTTCTATTTATTTTTTTTTATTTTGGTAGCTTTTTCTTCTGACTGTGCAGCCCAAATAGTCTTCAGATTTTTTTTTTCTCAACTGTTTTTTAAGCTCAGTCAAAATTTTAGTTTGAGTATCACATTAGAAGATGAGGGAACTTTTGTTCTAGGTAAAGCTGGTGTAGTAAAAAGAAGTAAGACTGACTTACTGAACAGTTTAGTCGTGTTGCAACTTTTCTTCTGGTTTTAAAAAACTTGTTCTATGTACCTTTAAACATGAGTAGTGTAAATTGTCAGTTTGTTCTCTTAAAGACAGTAAGACTTATTCCACTGTTAGGAATTAAAGACAGTGTGCAATTTTGTGTGTACTTTTTTTTTTTTTTTAAATTCTTAACATCAATTAGGCTACAGAGAAAATACTTCCCTTGCATGCTTCTTGTATGAATAAAGTCATACTTTCCAATTTTTCCACTAGAGGGCTGTGTTGCTCTTTGAAAATAGTAAACAAAAGAGACCTGGTGGATTTTCCTATTTTTGTTAAATGCTCCTGTAATTTTGTTGTTTGTGTTCTTAATTATTAGGGCTAGAAACTGAAATTTTAAAAAAGCATATCAGCTGTTCATCTAGGTTTAATTTTATTAAAAAGTGTGTTTTTTCAACTGCATGTGTAAGAAATTCATCAAATTAAACAAATTTTTTAAAATAATATTACTTGGTTTTAATATCAGGGAGACAGTTGTGTAGCTAATGTGATTTTCTATGACTTTTATAAATATTGTTACCTGTTTTTAAGATTCATTTAGCTATATGACCTTGAAACTCCATGTTGTTTTCTGTATTGGGTGCAGTTGCATCTAACCTATTGTGATGGATACAGTATGCATGAGTAGTGAAATGTAAGTAGTATTGCAGCATATTATGGAAGGGCAAAATGTGTATGTTCTGTGCAGTAAGGCAGATTCCACAAAGTAGAGTTTTTCTTAATGCTTTTCCAAGATTTTATCACAAACTGTGTTGATAATTGCAACCAACCAAACCATTGCTCTAGCTGCAATTCTAATTTTCCTCCCATATGAAGGTCAAAAGAAATCTGTTAATTGCTTTTGTAAAGGATGCCCAGAACAAGCACAAATTACCTCAAGGAAATGAAACCCACTTTTGATTTTGAGCAGCTTAGTTTTTTCAAATACTGAAGAAAATCCAGAAGTGTAAGTCATAACGTGTCTTGCTACATTACTTTTCTTGATTTTGCTTTACCAGAGTGTAAAGCATGTAGTTTTATAATTGTGGAAATGTTTTAGATTATTTCTTCAAAATAATAGTCGAATAATGTTTGGTTAAATTGAATAATTATATTTTTTTTTTTTTCTGGCACTTTTATTGCTATGCAATAAGAGGCCTTAGTATTAGGTGCTCTTAATCTGCATTTAAGAGACGAGTCACTGTTCCAGTGAACTTTCAGTCTGCGCTTACTTTTGGTGTGAGAAGTTACTGTATTTCTTTCATTTCATGTGCAGAACTTAAGTATTAGCAACTTTTGTCATACTGATGCAAAAGACTGGGAAATGTGCTTATATTTTATCATGATTAAACATCTGCTTTATGATTTAATAAATTATTTTTAGTAACTGGTCTTTTATTTTATAACTGATAAACATAAGTTTTTCTGTTTTATTTGTTTCTCTCATAGCTTTTTTTTTTTCACCCCAGATGACTCTACGGGTGTATTATATTTTAAGTGGAGAAAGCTAGCTTCACATAGTTAATAACAAAAAGTGGTTATTGCAAAACTTGTGCAAGTTAGGTTGTAGGATATCACTTAGGTTTTTAAACTCTAAGAGTCTGATTAAGTTACAACTAAAACTGATTAGTACACCTTAGTAGAAGGTGACATGTTTAATTAAAAAGTGTTTTTACAAACCAAGGAAGTGTAAAGCAACCTACTTAACTACTAAACAACTCTTAACTACTAAAATACAGTTAGCAGGTGTATTCTTTCATTCTTTCTTTTTAAATTGATTTGTGTTCCACCCATGGCTGATTTGCATCGGCTTAAACAAATGCGGCCAATACTTGAGGATCAGGTATATGAAATCAGGGAAA